ACAGGCAGGCAGCGCTTCTCAGCCAGTCGAAATCATGAATCAGCTGGCATAATCTTTATGGATATATACAAAGAAATGTAAGTTGAAAAAAAGGTCAAACGAAACGAGATGCAAACTAGTTTGCAGTCTTTCCAGCTTCAGTTTGAAGTGACTGTGTTAGCGTTAACTGTGTTGTTGGCTTGCTTCTCTGAACAACAGTGTCCTGAGGAGAGAGCACATTTTCTATGCCAGACGAAATCACACCTCATTAGCTCACTGTTATGGATGTATCCAAATAAATGTCACTAGAAAACAGCTTAAACAAGTGCAAATGTAGCTACTGTTGTTATTCTGGCTGTTATTCTGGTTGTTATTCTGGCTGAACTGTTTGATGTGACTGTAAATTAGCCGTAGTTGGCTAGCTAGCAAGCAAGGGATAAGAACGTTGCCAGCCAGTATGACTGGTCCATAGATACAGAACAAAAAGACTGAACGACTGGGTCGCGTCTCTGGCAACCAAACCGATAGAACGAACGACCAGCCAGGCTTGGGTAGCAACCCTAGATTTGTGTCGGGACTATAGATTGTGGAAGGATGAAATAGTATTAATAAATTCATCAAAATAACGTTTTTATTGAAAATATGTCAATCATTATTTGAATATGTTGGTAACCCGTTGTATAAAAGTGATAATGACCTTGAAGCCGGTGTTTGGAGGATATATTGATTTCGTCTCTGCCCTAACAACACCCGTGCCAATATATCCTCCAAACACCGGCTTTTCTGACATTATCACTTAGGGTGTGTTCGTAAATTCAATCTGGAGTGCCAGAGTGCACTCTGGGCATTCGTAAATTCAGAGCGTTGTTAAAAATCTTCTTTAACCTATCTCCTCCCCTTCACTGATTGAAGTGGATTTAACAAGTGATGGGCCATTTTCAGATGGGCTGCCAAATGCAGGGTGAATGAATGGCAGGGGGAAACTCTGTTTGTGATATCGAAATTCTAACAACTTCAGTGTGTTAAATGTACTTATTTAGGAAAAGTCGGGGATGACGTTCAGAAGACGGCGGCGGAGGTTCTAACATTAAGCCAGAAACGCCATTCAAACTTTCAAACGTTCAGAACTGTCTGGAATAGGTTGCTTGTATACAACTTTTTGAACTCGCTACATGTTGCTTGTCCTATGTTGCTCTGTCTGCGTGCTACGTGTTGCTTGTCCTATGTTGCTCTGTCTGCGTGCTACGTGTTGCTTGTCCTATGTTGCTCTGTCTGCGTGCTACGTGTTGCTTGTCCTATGTTGCTCTGTCTGCGTGCTACGTGTTGCTTGTCCTATGTTGCTCTGTCTGCGTGCTACGTGTTGCTTGTCCTATGTTGCTCTGTCTGTGTGCTATGTGTTGCTTGTCCTATGTTGCTCTGCATGTGCTCACTGTTTGTCTGTATTGTTATTGTAATTGTTTTTAATAACCTGCCCAGGGACTGCGGTTAGAAATTACCCGGCTGGCTAAAACCGGCACTTTTACTGAAACGTTGATTAATGTGCACTGTCCCTGTAAAAATTTAAATATAGAGACTGCTGCCATATGTACATAGTCATTGAACACTGGTCACTTTAATAATGTTTAGATACTGTTTTACCCACTTCATATGTACACTAAGAATACAAAACATGAAGAACACCTGCTCTTTCCATGATATAGACAGACCAGGTGAATCCAGGTGAAAGCTATGATCCCTTATTGATGTCACTTGTTAAATCCACTTCAATCAGTGTAGAAGAAGGGGAGGAGACAGGTTAAAGAAGGAATGTTAGGCCTTGAGACAATTGAGACATTGATTGTGTGCCATTCAGAGGGTGAATAGGCAAGACAGAAAATGGAAGAGCCTTTTTAGGTGCCAGGCGCACAGATTTGTGTAAAGAACTGCAACGCTGCTGGGTTTTTCATGCTCAACAGTTTCCCCATGTGTATCAAGAATGGTCCACCACCCAAAGGACATCAAGCCAACTTGACACAACTCTGGGAAGCATTGGCGTCAACATGGGCCAGCATCCCTGTGGAACGCTTTCAACACCTTGTAGAGTCCATGCCCCAACGAATTTAGGCTGTTCTGAGGGGGGAGGGGGGCAGAGGGTGCAACTCTATATTAGGTTTGATTGATTGGGAAGTATTTTGATTCGCCATTGCTCTTGAACCATTAAAAAGTTACACACACCAAACCAATGTTGACATGTATAGACTGACTCAACTTAGATTGCTTGTCAAAAGATTGTTAATACTATTTGTACTTTTCTAACTATAACAATTTTAAAGTTGCATAAAAGCTCCATAGGCTTCAATTGGAAATATTTGGATTCACCACTGTTCTTGAACCGTTCATGCCACAAACACCAAACTAACGTCGACATGTGCAAACTGACTTGAATACTTTATAAAGTTTGTTGTATTCGCATTCATTTCAATGGCAGAATGCAGGCTTTAACATTCTAAACTGAAATCACTGCCACAGAACTTTCATAATGTTCAAACTAAAACATTTATAGAGCTTAAATACACATCGCATGGCAAGATGCTAAAGTACTCACTCTAGCCTACTATAGATGGCTTAGCTGACAACATCACGAAAATGATGTGCACTCTTCCATGGGGCAGAAGTCAGCGTGTTGTTGTGATTCTGGATGGCCAGATTGCTAGCAAGAATGACAAGAAACTACCATGTGGGGAATCGTAAGTGGCTAGTTTTGAGGTGTTTTGACTGATTTCATGTCAAGGCTAATATGGCTAAAATTCGCTAGCTTGCTAGCTATAACCAACAACTGTAACAATGTATTTGAGAGAACTGATCATTGTGCAAATGTATTCATGTTTTCAGACACTAACAGCTTACAGACGGTAGGCAATTAAGGTCACAGTTATGAAAACGTAGGACACTAAAGAGGCCTTTCTACTGACTCTGAAAAACACCAAAGAGGCCTTTCTACTGACACTGAAAAACACCAAAAGAAAGATGCCCAGGGTCCCTGCTCATCTGCGTGAACGTGCCTTAGGCATGCTGCAAGGAGGCATGAGTACTGCAGATGTGGCCCTGGCAATAAATTGCAATGTCCTACTGTGAGACGCCTAAGACAGCGATACAGGGAGACAGGACGGACAGCTGATCGTCCTCGAAGTAGCAGACCACGTGTAACAACACCTGCACAGGATCGGTACATCAGAACATCACACCTGCGGGCAGGTACAGGAAGGCAACAACAACTGCCCATGTTACACCAGGAACGCACAATCCCTCCATCAGTGCTCAGACTGTCCGCAATAGGCTGAGAGAGGCTGGACTGAGGGCTTGTAGGCCTGTTGTAAGGCAGGTCCTCTCCAGACATCACCGGCAACAACGTCGTCTATGGGCACAAACCCACCGTCGCTGGACCAGACAGGACTGGCAAAAAGTGCTCTTCACTGACAAGTCGCGGTTTTGTCTCACCAGGGGTGATGGTCGGATTCGTGTTTATCGTTGAAGGAATGAGCGTTACACCGAGGCCTGTACTCTGGAGCGGGATCGATTTGGAGGTGGAGGGTACGTCATGGTCTGGGGCGGTGTGTCACAGCATCATTGAACTGAGCTTGTTGTCATTGCAGGCAATCTCAACGCTGTGCGTTACAGGGAAGACATCCTCCTCCCTCATGTGGTACCCTTCCTGCAGGCTCATCCTGACAATGCCACCAGCCATACTGCTCGTTCTGTGCGTGATTTCCTGCAAGACAGGAATGTCAGTGTTCTGCCATGGCCAGCGAAGAGCCCGGATCTCAATCCCATTGAGCACGTCTGGGACCTGTTGGATCGGAGGGTGAGGGATAGGGCCATTCCCCCCAGAAATGTCCGGGAACTTGCAGGTGCCTTGGTGGAAGCATGGGGTAACATCTCACAGCAATAATTGGCAAATCTGGTGCAGTCCATGGGGAGGAGATGCACTGCAGTACTTAATGTAGCTGGTGGCCACACCAGATACTGACTGTTAATTTTGACCCCCCCCCCCCCACGTTGGTTCAGGGACACATTATTCAATTTCTGTTAGTCACATGTCTGTGGAACTTGTTCAGTTTATGTCTCAGTTGTTGAATCTTGTTATGTTCATAAAAATATTTACACATGTTAAGTTTGCTGAAAATAAACGCAGTTGACAGTGAGAGGACGTTTCTTTTTTTGCTGAGTTTACTATAACCCACTATAATAACTCCAAACCTGCAAACCACCCCAAAACAGCTCTATAACTAGCCTATGACAACCCTGTTACTACCATTACTATTACTACTGCCATAACTACAACAACCAATACTACTACTATTTCACACAATAAATAGGCCTACTTTAAGACAAGCAAGCACACAAATTTACTTCAGCAGCTAAATGTCCTTTTCTAGTTAGTACTAACTGTATCAGCCAGAGAGCAAGCTCTACTACTACTTTCGATCAAATACAGTAACAGTATCTTTTTACAATCAAGATAATAAAGTCACACAGTATTCTGTTAAAACCTTCCTATGAGAGTCAGTGATGATCACTGACTGTCTTGTTTCTGTGCAAATGCTAAATAACCACATCTAGCCAGCAACATAAACCAAAATCTGCGAATACAATCTAGTCAATGAAAAGTAGCTGATTTTACTGATATCATATCATAACTCAGGTCAAAAGTCTTGTAAATCGTCTCTGTATTGCACTTTGGACCGAAAATCAGTCACTCACCTTGCTAGTTTGTCTACTGAACAGACATGCACAGAAGTGCACTTCCTGGGTCAGTGTTTGTAGTTTAGTTTACTGGATACTGTCACTCAGTGCTCACAGCATGTGAGATCAAAGCTCAATGCTCTCTAGCATGTGCATCATAAATAACACGTACAATTGATGCTATATCTGAACAATTTCTATGGATAATCTGCATACATTTCCGCGCCGAAGACGATAAGTAATGGCTATGTATAAACTACAATTCCCATGATTACGTTTAAAGGCCATTGATAAATCAGGTGATCGACTGGAGGGAGGCTTCGTTCTGTCAACTGACGGCTTGCTGTCTCTTTCCCTCAAGACGTCGGAAGGCCAACAATGTGTACCAGGTAAGCCTACCGATTCATATATTTAGCTGTTTTCCGTGCAAAGATTCGGTCAGAAAATGTACTTCGTGAAATACATGTGTGTAGGATCTATTGTTATCGCGTATGAATGAGCGAACTAACTTCTTGAGCCGTGGCTTTGTTCAACAGGATTGCATGCAGATTTAAATCGCCTTGATCTGTCCGCAAGGACTGTCTATTGTCTTTACAGACAGACTGATTGGCCAGATAGTTGCATTTTTGCATCCAAGTAGCTGCGAGTTAGCTTTTTATTACAGCCCAGTTTGTGTTGGCCTATGGGCAAAAATCTAATCTGCCATTTGCACTTTCTGTTCCTAGATCGTGTGCCTTTTTTGTTATTTCTCCAAAAACAGTCTCCTCACATGACATGTCATGACATTTTATTCTCGTGGCAAATGCATGACAGGAAAGGGAGGGTGAGAGGAAGGGAACACTGGCCTTTAGAACACTCACTCCATTTCAATCTGAAAGCATGGTTTGTTCTATGGCTAGATAAGTACTGAGTCGGACTCATATGGTCTGCTATTCTGCATATCCACAAAGTGGATCTCAAAGGTCTAAAGGTAAGTCCTATCCTCATCTCCTTTCCTTCTGCGCTGATGTGGATAAACTGGGCAGGTAAAAGCAAAAGGGCTGCTTTAGAGTATTGAGATGTCCCCATGACTATGTATGCCTTTAGAGATAACCAGGGAGTCTTAACAATCCAAGTGTATACCAGTCTTGCAGATTATCTAGAGGCCAAAGGTTTCTCTGAAAGACAGACTTTGACACAATCTCACTGATATCACTAACCCTGCAGCAGAGAATACCAGACATGAAAGCAAAGCAATATATTATCTCACCTTTCTCTGCAGTCAAAACAGCTCACTGTATTACCCTGAGTTGGTAACCAGAGTGCCAGTTTGTGCTATCATGATTTCCAACTCCTAACAGTGTTTGGCTTGACAATGATAGCAATGGGGTTGACAAGGCCACATACAAATCTGGGACCAGGTTAGTAGTGAGTTGGACCTTCAAGACCAATAATATTGAGCTGTAATTAATGTGTGTTTCTCTCTATAGTCAGAAGTGTAAAGTACTTAAGTAAAAACACTTTAAAGTACTACTTTATTTTTTTTATTTTTTGGGGGGGGTTCTGTACTTTACTTTACTATTGATATTTTTGACAACTTTTACTTTTACTCCACTACATTCCTAATGAAAATAATGTACTTTTTACTCCATACATTTTCCCTGACACCCAAAAGTACTAGTTACATTTCGAATGCTTAGCAGGACAGTACATTTTCCCAATTCACACACTTAAACAGGAGAACATCCGGGTCATCATGTTGCTAATAAAAATGAAATATATACTTAACTTTATGATACTTAAGTTATTTAATTACAATTAATTTACTTCTAATGTTAATAATTTAAAAAATAATGACATTTTATCTAATAATTTTAACTATATACTTTCACTTTTAATTTACATTTCATCTTGCATGGTATCTTACTTACTAATTACTAAATGGTAACTTTTACCACTCAATTAGGTCGGCATCGAGACCATGGTACTTAGAGCCAACAAGAGATTCATGTTGTGATGTGCGCGCGACATGCCGTCGTAAGTTAAACTGTTTTTCTCTCCTATGGAAAGTCTGGAGACCCATTTTGATCCAGGTTGGCCCAACTGGCAGTCTCAAAGCACCTGCTGTAGATCGGTACCCGCATGACGTAGACCCAACCGTAACAAGATTAATATTAGTAATAGAATCAGATGACTATGCCGACATTATGTATTCGATACTTATTTTTTCTCACCTAAAATCTCGTATTCTTTGGCTATCCGTAAAATTATAAAAGAAGAAAATTGTGCCATCTGGTTTGCTTAATATAAGGAATGTGAAATATTTATACTTCTACTTTTGATACTTAAGTATATTTTAGCAATTACATTTACTTTTTGATACTTAAGTATATTTAAAACAAAATAATTGTAGACTTTTACTCAAGTAGTATTTTACTTGATGACTTTCACTTTTACTTGAGTCATTTTCTATGAAGGTATCTTTACTTTTACTCAAGTATGACAATTGGGTACTTTTTCCACCACTGTCTATAGTGTCCAGCCCATCGAGTGGACCACTGACTGTAAGAGCCAGAAGTGAGTATTGTCTGTGTGTGTGTGTGTGTGTGCGCGCGAATGCGCGTGAAAGAGATCTAACTGTGTGTTTTCTCTCCAGTTATGATGGAATAGTCTTGGTGACCCAGAGTTATGACACGCTGCCCAAGGAGCTGGAATGTCTGAAAGCACCTCTGCTGGACTACAGCTCTGTGAGTCAAACACACAACCACAACAACAGATAGATAGATAGATAGATAGATAGATGACTATAGCCCTACTTTCTCTTCTCCCCTCTCCTTTCTTCTCCTCTCCCCTCTCATATCTCTCCTTCATCCCTCTCTCCCTTTCTTCTCTAGGTGGACTGTGGTCTGGGAGATGAGGTGGTGGTGTTGAAGGTTCCGGGGTTACCTGGTAACCGCTTGGTGTTTGCGTCCACTGGGCCCGTTAACCGGGACTACGATGACATCAGACGCTTCAGTGACGCAGCCGTTAATGGCATCAAGAGGTCAGAGTCAACACCACACACACACACACACGCGAATGGTATCAAGAGGTTACTATGTGTATATATATGTCTGTTGTGTAGCTCTACCTTTCATTACCATATACAGTATTGGTCTTCACAAAGTTCGCTCCTTCAGTGTTATGAGAGATATATTCTGATGGTAGCGCTCACCTTGTCTTCTCCGGACAAGGTTTTTTCCGGATGCCCCAAACAATCGGAAAGGGGATTCATCAGAGAAAATGACTTTACCCCAGTCCTCAGCAGTTCAATCCCTGTACCTTTTGCAGAATATCAGTCTGTCCCTGATGTTTTTCCTGGAGAGAAGTGGCTTCTTTGCTGCCCTTCTTGACACCAGGCCATCCTCCAAAAGTCTTCGCCTCACTGTGCGTGCAGATGCACTCACACCTGCCTGCTGCCATTCCTGAGAAAGCTCTGCACTGGTGGTGCCCCGATCCCGCAGCTGAATCAACTTTAGGAGACGGTCCTGGCGCTTGCTGGACTTTCTTTGGCGCCCTGACGCCGCCTTCACAACAATTGAACCTCTCTCCTTGAAGTTCTTGATGATCCGATAAATGGTTGATTTAGGTGCAATCTTACTAGCAGCAATATCCTTGCCTGTGAAGCCCTTTTTGTGCAAAGCAATGATGACTGCACGTGTTTCCTTGCAGGTAACCATGGTTAACAGAGGAAGAACAATGATTTCAAGCACCACCCTCCTTTTAAAGGATCCAGTCTGTTATTCTAACTCAATCAGCATGACAGAGTGATCTCCAGCCTTGTCCTTGTCAACACTCTCACCTGTGTTAACGAGAGAATCACTGACATGATGTCAGCTGGTCCTTTTGTGGCAGGGCTGAAATGCAGTGGAAATGTTTTTTGGGGATTAAGTTCATTTTCATGGCAAAGGGGGACTTTGCAATTAATTGCAATTCATCTGATCACTCTTCATGACATTCTGGAGTATATGCAAATTGCCATCATCAAAACTGAGGCAGCAGAGTTTGTGAAAATTTAGTATTTGTGTCATTCTCTAAACTTTTGACCACGACTGTACTCTATGGGCGTTTCTTCAGGGCCATGAAAGCAGGCATGCAGCGCCCCCTTCTGGTCTGTCCTCGCCATAGCAGCTATGACAGGAGCACCCTGGTGGCTGCCCTAGGGGCCCTGCACGCCCTCTACATGGTGAGAACACTCAGATGAAATAAAAAAGTAGATACCAGCACACTGATTAATGCTCCCATCGTTTTTTTATTGTGCAATGTTTCGACCCGAAGGACTTCGTCAGGCATTCCTGTGCCCATACAAACCCCTAGACCCTCATATTCAAATAAACTTTGCACATGTATGGAGCTCCAGAGAATCAATTGTCTCTTGCACCAAATATGGTGCTGGCATTTATTCTCTCTATTTCTCCATCTCTCTCTTTTTCCCCCTCCCTCTCTCCCAGCCTCTGGAAGTGAGGGAGGCATCTGTGAAGCCTAGCCAGTATAAGGTGTGTGTTCTGGGGCTGTGGGTGGACCAGGAGGCCAAGGGGAAGGAGTTGGTGGATCTGGCCTCTGCTCTGGAGAGTGGACGGTGAGTCACACACACCACATACACACATATTTTCATCTGTAACTGAGAGATCCCTCTTTTGGGGAGATGTTTTTAAATGTATTAGTTCTAAAAAATCTATATTTTTATGTTTGCTTTTTAAAACGATCTTTCTCTCTTCCTCCCTCGCCCCCTCCATTTCTCTCTCTCCCTCTCTCTCCAGGCTGGCTTGCCGTGACATAGGAGGGTCCGATCCTGAGAGGATGGCTGCTCCTTTTGTAGCTGACTACGTCCAGGCCCTCTTTAAGGACAGCCCAGTGCAGGTGAGAGAGGCTTTTCTCATACATCCAAAAAGGAAAAGGTGATTTCTATATCCCAAAAAGACAGCAACAACAACATTATTTATCTCACTAATATGTTAATGTGATTAAACTGAACCGCCCTGTCTTTCTCAGGTAGAAGTGGTGAGTGATCTGAAGGTGCTGGAGAAGGAGTACCCTTGCCTCGCTGCTGTCAACCGCTGTGCCAATGGTAAGTGTGCGTGTATGTGTGTCAGACCTGGGTTCAAATACTATTTCAAATATCTCAATTACTTTTACATACATTCGAAGTAAGTATTCAGATCTTTTATTTGAAAAGACAAGTAGTTGAATATTTGAATGTATATGGAAATGCATTTGGAAAGTATTAGAAAATACTGAAATACATTGACTCATACACTCCCATGTATTTAAAAATAGTATTTGAAAGGAGTATTTGAAAATGCTCTCAAATACATTTTGATATACTATTATTTATTTATTTTTTACAAATACACAAATAAAAGTACTTGTTTTGGGCTGTTTATTTGAAAATACTCAAATACACAGAAAAAAGTATTTTAAATGCCAGATACTCAAATACACATGTATTTGAACCCAGGTCTGCTGTGTCTGTGTTTTTCATCCATGTGTATTTGTCTCTTATAGCCGTGCCTCGTCACCAGGCCAGAGTGATCAAGCTGCAGTACTGTGGAGAAGGACCAGTCCAACACACACTGATGCTGGTCGGCAAGGTGAGAGGGAGAGAGTGGAAGGAGTGGGTGTGGAAATGTAATGTAAATGTGTGGAAGAGGGGAAGATGATGATGAATTGATGATGGCGATAAAAGGGGTGGGGTGTTCTCGTCATGTCATGAACATGTTTTTGTATGTAACATGCGTTTGTGTGTGTGTGTGTGTCTCTTTCTCTCAGGGCATCACCTATGACACTGGTGGAGCTGACATCAAGGCTGGTGGCATCATGGCTGGCATGCACAGAGACAAGTGTGGTGCTGCTGCCGTGGCTGGGTTCTTCCAGGTTAAACAACTAGCACTTTTACACTTTTCAGTTCTCACTAGTGGACTGTAGTTAGAGAGGTTTCATAGTCCCTCAAATAGTCTGCTACTCCTGCTAACATGTACCTGTCTCCTGTCCTGTCAGGTCCTGGCCAAACTCAAGCCCAAGCATCTGAAGGTGGTGGGTGCCATGGCGATGGTGAGGAACAGCGTGGGCTCAGGTCAGTGTGATGTCATAGGGGTAGGTGTTTCACCTATAGAAATATATTTTTATATAAGATTCTATTTCTATAGTTTCACCTAATGGGTGTACAGTTGGCATCTCTCTCTCTCTTTGTGTTGTCTCTGACTGAATGAGGGTTTAAGTGTTGTGTGTTGTGGTTCTCTCTCTGTTCTGTCAGACTGCTACGTAGCTGATGAGTTGGTGGTGTCCCGTGCGGGTCGCAGGGTTCGTGTGGGGAACACGGATGCTGAGGGACGCATGGTGATGGTCGACCTGCTCTGTGAAATGAAGGAGAAGGTGAGAATACACAACTCTATTCCCCCTTCTCTCCCTCTGTTTCTCCTGTCCAACCCATTCTATCACCTTAATCTCACTTCCTCCTCCTGTCAAAAACAGACTGTCAGTCAGTGACTTTATACGCCTTCCAGGTCAAGGGGCAGGTCAAGGGGCACGACCTTGCTGTGTGCGTGTATCTGCTTTCAAATCCCCAAACCGGTGTCACCGGAAATGTTTCCATGTGACATTCTAGGGGATATCCATTGATGATAACGTAAAATTAGGTTTAAAGGTTGAAATCTCTTGGTGGGGCCTCATCTCGTGTAAAAATGCCCTCCATTACCACCACCTCTCTTTCCAGGCGGTACATGAGGTGTCTCCTCAGCTGTTTACCATCGCCACTCTGACAGGACACGCCATCAGAGCCATGGGACCCAACTACTCTGTGAGTACTGGACCATATACACACAGTACTATACAAGACACTGGCCATGGTGACAATGTTTGATTAAACTTTTGTCCCCTTTAGATCATCATGGACAACGGAGCTGCCCAACGCTCTGGCAATGCCCGGCAGTGGCAGGAAGGTGAGACGCTCTGCACATGCATACATATATAGGTAACTGACAAAGTTATGGAAATGAGGTGTACATACATGCACACAGACACACAGGATACTATTCAGTCAAATCAGCAAACCCTGGTTTACAGGTCTGAACGTGGGTTTTCTGGGTTGAACATGGGATAACCTGTTAGTCCTCTCTTTCTTTCTCCCTCCTTCTGTCCCTCTGTGTAGCGGGGGAGGTGCTGGGTGATCTGTTTGAGGTGTCCAGTATCAGGCGTGAGGACTATGACTTCCATAAGGGGAAGTCTGAGTACGAGGAGATTCTGCAGAGCAACAACCTGCCATCCTCTGCTACTCCGCGCGGACATCAGACCCCCGCTGCCTTCCTCATCATGGCCTCTGGGCTGGACAAGGTACATGCACACATCCCACATCACACAGACACACAATACTCCAGCTCTGTTCACAGCCCTGATTCTAACCTAATCTCTATGGTTGTCTTGTTTCCCTCCATCAGTACGGTGTGGACTCGGGCAGTCCTCTGCCATACTCCCACATCGACATCGCTGGCTCCAGCGGCCCCTTCCCCGGTGTGCCCACCGGAGCTCCAGTCCTTGCCATGGCTACCAACTACATCCTGCCCAGCGCCTAGCAACCCAACTACACCCTGCCCAGTGCTTAGCAACCTCATGATAGAAATAGAATGTGTAGAATGTACCCTATTCTGTCTTATGAGTTATATCACATAGAACCGTCCTAATATGGTAGTGCCAGTCAAGTTTCATATATTACACAAAGAATTCAAGAACACAGATATCCATCAATGGTGTGATATCGACAGTTCATTTAGAACATTCCAATACCTCTCCAAGAGCTCAGATTGTTGTTCTATAGATTCTATTTCTAAGATCCTGCTACTGTATATCCATACAAACTCAAGTGTCCCAAATGTTTTACTCCCATGTCTAACATGAGTCATTGTATTGAATACACTCTCAGGGGAGAAATGACAAACGCTCCGTGTTGTTCATCCATCCATTTTATACATGTGTGAAACTTGAGGTGAGTGGCAAGTCAAATGGTTGTGTGCTTCAATAAAATAATAGATTTTCAATGATTATTTGTTTACTTATTTCAATAACCAATGTTAACAACTGTAGATCCAGGAATTGTGGAATGGCAGGTATAGGTTAGAGGTAGGCCAGCAATAATATTGAAGTATATTGGGGGAAATCGAGAAGTCCCCTCATTTTTATCCAATTGTATGCTGAATATGCAAGCTATCATTTATCTTCATTCAAATATATTACATTTGTCATGATGCATGGACTGTTTGTCTTTCATGTTTAAATAAATTATGTTTTGTTACTAAGGGAAAAAAAGCAAGCTGAGAAAGCTCAGACAAACCTTAAAGCTTCTGTACTTGATTCCAAATGTTATTCTAATGCAGCAGTGCATAGACCGTTGCATATCACTAAAACAAATGGGTTAACATAATACAAATTTGAGTCCGAAATAAAGTAAAACCAAAGAGAATATATATTTATATTTATACATAGCTAAGTACGAAATATCTAAGTCCTTTTACTGTTTTGTAAATGAAGCTGGAGAAAATGTGGCGCCATCGACGTCCTTATTTTGATCACTTCGTTTGTGAAGGCGGTCGTAACACTATCATTTTTGGATCAACGCATGCGTATGACAAGTATGGACAAGTGCCTAAAACTAGATCAACCTCAATTTCTTCAGTGGGAGGAGCGCATGATTAAACGCGGAAATGACGAATGACGCCAACGCTTAAAACTACACGTTAGCGCGCGCTAGTGATCTACAGACCGTTTTCTCTCCAGCAAGACAAGTTGTGTCGCTCTTTGTGACGAGAGAAAGGGAGCTATTTTGTAACCAACCAACCTAGCAACTTTAGGCTGCAGCACCGAAGTTGACGGAAAAGGTCTCAGGGAATATTTTTTTATTTCTACTAGATCCAAACAAACACTCCACCATGTTTGAGGCTCGCTTGGTACAGGGATCCATCCTGAAGAAGGTTTTGGAGGCTCTGAAGGACCTGATCACAGAGGCCTGTTGGGACGTTAGCTCGTCGGGTATCTCTCTCCAGAGTATGGACTCGTCCCACGTCTCCCTAGTTCAGCTCACCCTCCGCAGCGACGGGTTCGACTCCTACCGTTGTGACCGCAACCTCGCCATGGGAGTCAATCTTAGCAGGTGAGGAACTGAATGAATATTTATTTTATTTAACTAGGCAATATGACAGCATGATTGTTAAGGTTAGTTACTTAGCCAGAGAACAATAACGTCGTTAGTTTAGCAGGAATGTAACTAGTTTAAGATGTTTATATTGTGTCGATAGTAAGCTAAGTTAACCATGTTCTTTTGTTGGCATGGCTTGAGTTACAAGCAATGTGTCCTGTCGTTCTACTTTTTACTGTGGTGAGGACATTTTAGACGTTCATACATCTTTTGCAACGCCTCAAATGTGTCATTTTCAAAAGTTACAAGTTTGTACAGTATTTTTTTCCCCCATGGAAAACTGAAACATCGACCGGTTGAGTGCAACTTGCATGTCAAAAAACCGCCTTTTGAAAATGACATGTGACGTCACTTGCGCGCCAAATCACTGCCTTGTTTGGATGATGGTTGGCGGGAATGTTGCGAACCCGCCAAGTTCAGCAGACGTCAGTCACTTAGTGTTCTGAAGTTGGCTATTTGCTAAATAGAACAAACGATCACGTTTACCAACTATATGAAATCACTTGTACATTTTCATAAATGCTTCTGTATAACTTAACATCTAACTTGTAGCATAGCTTTTAGACAATGGTGCTCCGTGCAGTGTCATGACCTAGCCAATGTTGCATTTGAATGACATACACAGGCTATGAAAAGAGCAGAGTTCAATTACATTAAAATATTGGCGTAAAACAACATTAAATCAATTTTCACCTTTTACAGTGCTTTGGCAATTTTAAGAATGTTTTTGTTGAGTGAAATGATGGCATATCATCTTTCGGGACAGACCTGATTATGGTGACAACTTTGTATACTGATCACTCAAGGGATTCATTGTTTTTAAACCATTCCCGTAACAGTATGTCAGGTACTGACTGGTCTATCACCTTCTCCCTCCTAGTATGTCAAAGATCCTGAAGTGTGCTGGGAATGAGGACATCATCACGCTCAGAGCAGAGGACAACGCAGACACACTCTCCCTAGTCTTCGAGACACTCAGTGAGTACCTTTATCCATCAAGCAATATCTCTACTCTTACGGTAGGGATATTTCATTTTGCAGATAGATAGATCCATCTATCTGTTGAGATTTATACCTGTAGTAGTAAGACTTGAATTCTCAGGAACCATGATAAACCACTGCAATCATATATGCTTGATGTCTAATTATATATGTTCTCTCTCAGACCAGGAGAAGGTGTCAGACTATGAGATGAAGCTGATGGATCTCGACGTAGAACAGTTGGGAATCCCAGTAAGTGTTCCCCCAACATTCCATTAAGTAATGGTTATAAACACATGTTTTTAGAAGGTGCCATTTGAATCATACTTGTGGCAGTAGCATTTGTCACTTGTCACCAGACCACACCACCCTGGTAGCCATGTTCTCACCCCTCTCAACTCACTCTCCAGGAGCAGGAGTATAGTTGTGTGGTAAAGATGCCATCGGGGGAGTTTGCCCGTATCTGCCGTGACCTGTCTCAGATTGGTGACGCCGTCATGATCTCCTGCGCCAAGGACGGCGTTAAGTTCTCGGCCACGGGAGAGCTGGGCACTGGCAACGTCAAACTGTCCCAGACCAGCAACGTGGACAAAGAGGAGGAAGCGGTAAGTATGTGGGAGGAGACATGCTGTGTGTCCCAAATGATACCCTAGTCCCTATATAGTGCACTATATAACTTCATCCCAAGGGTGAAATGTGGGGGGATGAGGTGGGAGAAACTGCACATCAGATGGACAATGGCCATTCTGGTTGACATGTTCACCAGCTCAGTGAATATTGTGCTTTTAGTCATTTAGCAGACGCTCTTATCCAGAGCAACCTACAGTTAGTGAGTGCATACATTTTCATACTGGCCCCCCCGTGGGAATCGAACCCACAACCCTGGCATTGCAAACGCCATGCTCTACCAACTGAGCTACACAGGGCCTCTTGGATGACAAAGATGTATTGGTTTTGTTTGTGCTCACTGGAGGCTTCGATATTGAATTAAATATCTTCTCTCCCCCTCCTTTCTTCCTCTTAGGTGAGTATTGAGATGAACGAGCCAGTCCAGCTGATCTTCGCTCTCAACTACCTTAACTTCTTCACCAAGGCCACACCCCTCTCCAAGACAGTCATCCTCAGCATGTCTGCAGACATCCCCCTGGGTAGGTAACCTCCTCCTGCCCTCTAACCCTAACCTCTACCCCCTCCTCCTGCCCTCTAACCCTAACCTCTACCTCCTGCCCTCTAACCCTAACCTCTACCCCCTGCACCTGCCCTCTAACCCTAACCTCTACCTCCTGCCCTCTAACCCTAACCTCTACCTCCTGCCCTCTAACCCTAACCTCTACCTCCTGCCCTCTAACCCTAACCTCTACCTCCTGCCCTCTAACCCTAACCTCTACCTCCTGCCCTCTAACCCTAACCTCTACCTCCTGCCCTCTAACCCTAACCTCTACCCCCTGCACCTGCCCTCTAACCCTAACCTCTACCTCCTGCCCTCTAACCCTAACCTCTACCCCCTGCACCTGCCCTCTACCTCCTGCCCTCTAACCCTAACCTCTACCACCTGCCCTCTAACCCTAACCTCTACCTCCTGCCCTCTAACCCTAACCTCTACCTCCTGCCCTCTAACCCTAACCTCTACCCCATACACACATCCTATTAGGTGCTGTTTTCTGATGTCTGACTAATCTTTTCTTTGACAGTGGTGGAGTACAAGATAGCTGACATGGGCCACGTCAAGTACTACCTGGCACCCAAGATTGACGAGGAGGCTTCCTAAACCTCCCTGGTTCAAACTTCCAATGGAAGAACCGAGAGGAGGGAGATGTTGTTGGAGGGTGGTGAAGTAATGTCCGAATGGCTGACTTGACTTCGTCTGCATCATGGAATCACTTGGTTTTAGTTTTATCTGAATACATTCATTGATATCAGCCGTTTGACTGATGCAGTCTGACTTAAATTTGATACTGGCTAGACAATAGTGGGGACCTACTAAAGGCTTTTTCTGGGACTAGGGTTCTTGTTCTAGCTCAGGAGTACTTTTCAGAGTTAATAATCTGATCTAGCCAGCTGTCTGAGGAAGATCACATGTCCACTCCATCCCTCTTCTCTGTTTGGAAAACAAATGCTCATTCCAACTTGTAGATATGTCTGTATATATGTTATGTGGTCATGTTCACCACTCCAACTTTTTTGTATTTGTGAACTCCAATAAATAAATAATTTGATTCTGATTTATAATATGTACACGATCTGCTACCACAAGGTGGTGCCCATGGTTATAAAATCATCTGAACTTTCTCAGTGCTGTTTCATTTGGTGCTGGTTTCCTGGACACAGATGGACAAATGATTACTTGCAGTGGAGACTCGTTTGAACATTTATTTTTATTCCAGGTTTGGGGTTCATCTGTGACCCTTGAAAAATAAATTCCTCCTAACAGACCGTTGTATTTAAGGGACACTTTATCCAGATTAATTTACCAATATATTTAGGCTGCTAATGGTGCATGTTTTAATGGTAGTTCCCACTAACCATAAGGTAATGTATTTCTTAAATCTCCTAATGGTGACGGTTAGGTTTGGGGTAATGTAAACTGATCACAGATCTGTGGTTACTACCTAAAGTTTTAAAGCACAATTGCTCAAAATGATATACCTTTCTCATTTGTGCACATGCAGCAACAGTACACTATTTTGTGCTGTCATTGACATAAGGCTTCTGTGTTTGACTGTTAATCTTTGATTTTGACTGCTGTAAATAGCCTGGTCCCAGATCGGTTTGTGCCCTTGACAACTGTCATTGCAAACCATACTGACACTCAGGCTGCAAGTAAATAGGCTATGTCCTCTAGCAATTCTCTACGGGGCTGGCCAACACAGCGCCGTCAGTCTGGGTTGTCTAAAACCCTAATCCCATCGCTACATCTGGCTTCAGTTACGCCCCTCCCCTTCCTCCAATGTACACTCAACCTTAGCAAATCACTGGGATCAAACAGCCCAAAAGCAACAAGGGGAAGGGCTGGATTATAATCTCACTGTAGATTGCATTTCTACATTATCCCTTTCCCAGCTACCACAGGCTCTCACAAAACCCATCTGTTGACAGGGTTGAGCTGCATTGAGTTAATATCCACAGCAACCAGGGGAGAATAGTGTTTCTGTTCCAGAAAATGGCCCTCATAAAACCTTCATTTCAAATTAAGTCATCACGGGTTCAGTGACCCATTTCCATTGAAGGTAAAATGATAATGACTGTTTCAGGTTGCTCACTCCAGGCAATGCTTCCATCCTTCGCCTTCCTCTGGGAGGAAAGCTAGGTAGACTTCTCCTGAAGACTTTAATTCCATAAAGTAATTCATCTTTATCTTGATGTGAGTGGTTCATTAAATATTGAGGCAGCTATGACAGTTTAACTGGACACATTTCTTTATCAGTCTTTCTCTGGTGACAGGTCTGTCTTTTCCGGGTAGCCCCTGCATTTGTCTCTTTCCTCCCTTGCTTCTCTCGCTTCCTCCAATAAGGTTTATTCAATTGTTATTTCTGCACAAGCATTCTACTAATTAAAATAAGTACATTAACAACCGTTATTGCTGCACAGTCCTCAGTAACATATCACCCCTTAATATCTGTTGAGCCAGACAACTCATAAAGATTCACCCCATAGCCTATAAAGTATGCTTTCTCTGCTCTACACGTTCAGTATAATAATATGCCATTTAGCAGACGCTTTTATCCAAAGCGACTTACAGTCATGCGTGCATACAGTGGGGAAAAAAAGTATTTAGTCAGCCACCAATTGTGCATGTTCTCCCACTTAAAAAGATGAGAGAGGCCTGTAATTTTCATCATAGGTACACGTCAACTATGACAGACAAATTGAGAAAAGAAATTCCAGAAAATCACATTGTAGGATTTTTTATGAATTTATTTGCAAATTATGGTGGAAAATAAGTATTTGGTCACCTACAAACAAGCAAGATTTCTGGCTCTCACAGACCTGTAACTTCTTCTTTAAGAGGCTCCTCTGTCCTCCACTCGTTACCTGTATTAATGGCACCTGTTTGAACTTGTTATCCGTATAAAAGACACCTGTCCACAACCTCAAACAGTCACACTCCAAACTCCACTATGGCCAAGACCAAAGAGCTGTCAAAGGACACCAGAAACAAAATTGTAGACCTGCACCAGGCTGGGAAGACTGAATCTGCAATAGGTAAGCAGCTTGGTTTGAAGAAATCAACTGTGGGAGCAATTATTAGGAAATGGAAGACATACAAGACAACTGATAATCTCCCTCGATCTGGGGCTCCACGCAAGAGCTCACCCCGTGGGGTCAAAATGATCACAAGAATGGTGAGCAAAAATCCCAGAACCACATGGGGGGACCTAGTGAATGACCTGCAGAGAGCTGGGACCAAAGTAACAAAGCCTACCATCAGTAACACACTACGCCGCCAGGGACTCAAATCCTGCAGTCCCCCTGCTTAAGCCAGTACATGTCCAGGCCCGTCTGAAGTTTGCTAGAGTGCCTTTGGATGATCCAGAAGAGGATTGGGAGAATGTCATATGGTCAGATGAAACCAAAATAGAACTTTTTGGTAAAAACTCAACTCGTCGTGTTTGGAGGACAAAGAATGCTGAGTTGCATCCAAAGAACACCATACCTACTGTGAAGCATGGGGGTGGAAACATCATGCTTTGGGGCTGTTTTTCTGCAAAGGGACCAGGACGACTGATCTGTGTAAAGGAAAGAATGAATGGGGCCATGTATCGTGAGATTTTGAGTGAAAACCTCCTTCCATCAGCAAGGGCATTGAAGATGAAACGTGGCTGGGTCTTTCAGCATGACAATGATCCCAAACACACTGCCCGGGCAACGAAGGAGTGGCTTCGTAAGAAGCATTTCAAGGTCCTGGAGTGGCCTAGCCAGTCTCCAGATCTCAACCCCATAGAAAATCTTTGGAGGGAGTTGAAAGTCTGTGTTGCCCAGCGACAGCCCCAAAACATCACTGCTCTAGAGGAGATCTGCATGGAGGAATGGGCCAAAATACCAGCAACAGTGTGTGAAAACCTTGTGAAGACTTACAGAAAACGTTTGACCTGTGTCATTGCCAACAAAGGGTATATAACAAAGTATTGAGAAACTTTTGTTATTGACCAAATACTTATTTTCCACCATAACTTGCAAATAAATTCATTAAAATCCTACAATGTGATTTTTCTGGTTTTTTTTTTTCCTCATTTTGTCTGTCATAGTTGACGTGTACCTATGATGAAAATTACAGGCCTCTCTCATCTTTTTAAGTGGGAGAACTTGCACAATTGGTGGCTGACTAAATACTTTTTTTCCCCACTGTATATATATATTTTTTTGTGTATGGGTGGTCCCGGGGATTGAACCCACTACCTTGGCGTTACAAGCGCCGTGCTCTACCAGTTGTGCTACAGAGGACCACAGTATACAATTTGCTTTTCACTCTGGCCTGGAATGCTCTTTCTGCCTATTCAGCCTTTTCTGCTCATTACTCTACCACACATCTCTCTAGTCCATTTGTTTCTCTCTCTCTCTCTTGCTCTAATGCTCTTTCTGTCTGGTCTGTAAATTGCTTTTTAGAGGTCTGGGATTTGGGCCAGAGACAGGGTGAGAATGGGACAGGGCGAGATGCCCCCTCTCTCTCTCTGTACCCCCCTCCCCCCTCAGATGCAAAAGGAGATTATCCAATACTGAGAATACCGAGGCGTGCATGTCACTCTGGTCTCTATCGCTCCCCTCACATGAAAAAATACTATAGTACACTATGGTATAAGTACTATAGTATTCACTGTAGTGTTTTTGCTGTATTATTCAATGTAGTGTTGTGGACATGACTAGTATTTACTGTAGTGTTTTCGCAGGCTGTAGTATTTACTCTAGTGGTTTTGTTTTATTATTTTTGGCATAGAAGTGTGGGCTTTCTCCTTGAGGAAACCTACTGAACAAATACTAAAAGAGCAAATATTCCATAGCCTGTAGGTAGGTAGGACTGGAGTCTGTACGGATAGTTAAGAGCTTCTGCTATTTTCTATAACCTGTAGAGAGAGACAACAAACCTTGGGACTTGTAGGGACATCTCAGGGCTTCATGCCCTCTTCTATCCCTCTTCTTAGTGTAGCTATCTGGTTGAAGGTCAGGTACGGCAATTTACAAGGGCGAGGGGTGGTGGAGTTCACCTTTTGTCTTCCTCAACCTCATTTGAATAAAACAAACTTTAATGAATAAAAATGTAAAGAAGTAAGGTAAAGAGGACAATAAAATAGAGGAGGGGGGGTTTAGGTTTAAGGGGTAGGGTTGGGAATAGGATACAAACCCGGTTTAGGCTTGGGGGAGGGGGTGATTAACTTTATTAAAAAAAGAAAGTAGGGGATGGAAACTTGTTCTTCAGGATACTGGTAGGGGGTGGTGGTTTGGGATTTTTGAGCGGTGGGATGTATGGTTGAGGTTGTTGTTGATGTTTTTGTGTTTCCATCATTAAGCATGGCAATGCACCTATACACAAAGCGAGGTATATACAGAAATGATTATAGGTGGCACAAATTGAGATATTGGGGAGGGGAATGGCCAGAGTATATGCAAATTAGATACTGCAGTATATACTATAGTAATATCTGTAGTGTTTTTGCGGTCTGTAGTATACTGTAGTACTACACATGATCGAGGGATACTACAGTGTGGAGTCTAGTATTCTACAGTATACTACAGTGTACAGCATAATTCTATAGTAAACTAGTATTATTATTA